CAGTCCTCCCCTGTCAGACTCCACCAGCATTAACTGGTCTTTTGGTGGAGACTGGTCTGGTCCCAGTACAGAGGTCAGGACTGAACAGGGTCTGACGTCATTTTATAAGAATAGATCTACAGACTGAGTGACACCACGGACTAATCGCTGAATGATACATAATCAGTGGAAGAGAGTGATAGTGTGGCGTCTGGGTCCTCTGTAAGACTGATAGATGGAGGATGGACAGACGTTGCGAGTCATCTTTTAACCTTTGTCCATCCCGTCAGACACGTTTATGTTTGAGGAGCAAATAGCTGCTGCTGCACAAACATCAAATAGGATTATTGCAAAGACAGGGAGTGAATATGTTCTGTAATACAGCAGTGTAAAGTGATTTTAGCTTTGTTCTGTTGTTACAGGTGACTCGTAGCACAAAATTAAATGTGTGTATTTCTTCAAGCAAAATGGACAGCTAGACTCCCCAGAGCTCAAACTATAAATTAATGGATTAGTCAATAGATGGAAAAAATTTTAGTTTTATGTTTTGTACAACATTTGTAAACATTCACTGAATGGGTTTATCTTTTTTGGTGGCACGAAAATGATTATTTTCCTTGCATCATAATTTTCATTTTCACTGAACAAAAACCTATTAAAATCATGACAACGTGACATTTGTTGGAGTCTGTACCAAACAAATATGATTTCTTACATCTGGAGAACAACATTTGTAGGCCAGGACATCTCTGCAGAACTACAGTAACTCATTGTAATGCTGTTTTATCACCACAATCTTTTTTTTTTTTTAAACTGCAACTTCTGTGACTTGGATATTGCACATGGTCACATTGGACATATATTTCAATTAATTGTGCAGCCCTAATTTGTTGGACAAAACATGACATCTGAGGACATAAGAACTTGTGATCAGTATTTTTTTAGAATATTTTCTGATATTCAATAGACCAAATAATTAGTCGATTATTAAATAAATTATTAAAAGGGGTGGAAGAAAACATTAAAAATAACGTATTGTGGAAAAATGATAGTGTTTAAACCCCCAACCTCTAGATAGCAGTGTTGTAAACGTAAGCTGAGGGCTATGATGTTGATGTTACAGCGACTGGGAGACATACAAATGGTGATCCCACTGCTCTGGTTGCATAAAACAGTTGACTCTTTACTCAGACTGTATGCATATGGTGGTTTGTTCTTTATACTGTGACAGTTTATCACAATATATTGAATTGTAACCCCTGTATCATGATACGTATTTATTCGCCAGACTCTAGCCAAGACACAGCCCTGATGTTGGGTAAAACAAGTTAATAGAATGTTAAATATGAATTGATAATGACAATAATCTAGCCATAATTTCTACAATACAGCTTCTCTTGCTGTAATTCCTGCTGTGTTAAACAGAAACAGTCCAACAACAAGAGGAGGAGAAAGAGGTGAGGAAAACTCCTCTGTTCTGAGCTGCAGGAGAGAGAGGATTTTATAAACAATACTTCCTCAAACGTCTCTCTCTGTCTTTCTCCCTCTCTCTTGTTGTGGCCTGGCTGGCTCGCCCACTGTCAGTCGGTCTGTTATTTCGGTAACACAGATCCTGGGCTTGGCTGTGGAATGTACAGCTGTCTGACATATGGATAATACTAGATTTTAATTTCTAAGGCTGCCTCCCCCTCCAATATGCACTTCCCCTGCTGGAAAAATGGGAGGGGGAGGCAATGGACTGCAAAAGGTATAGGAGTTCAGACCGTCTCTTTTAAAAAAAAAAAAAAAAGAGAGAACTGAAGACTCAAACCATTTTAATATGCATCATTAATATTCTACGTCTAAATAGTAGAAAGGAGTAATCTCCTTGTACATATAAGAAACAGCCCTTTGCAGATATCAGGATACACAGACCCCGTTAACGCCTGGTATTAATATGTCTCTTGTATTATATGAAGATCCAACTATTTGGTCCTTTTTTGCCAGTTCAGCGCCACAGTAAACTCCTATATCAGCAGTTCCTGCAGAGGAAACGCGGCTACATGAGTGTCATGTTTTAGCCTACCTCACGTTTCAATGCCTGTTCCAGCCCGTCCCCGCCATGTCCTCATTCTCCCCAGAGTCAGAGTCCTTGTTGGAGGCTCTGTGAATCTCCTTGTTACTGTATTCCCTGTTGTCAAACTAGCCAAAATAAACCCCTTACTGACAGAATTAGATGTGAAAATATTCTGGCTCTACAGCTGCTCAGTGTGTGTACTGCGCCGTCGACTCAGGGTCTTCTTAACTGTTGACTTAAATCATTGACTTTTTGGGCACAGCCCTACTTTATTCACAGATTTTGGTGAAATTGGATCATATTTTAATGGAGAGAACCTTTCCTGTTTTTTTTCTGGTGTACTTTCCCACTGTGGGAACTGTTGGATCTCTAAATCATTTTATAAGGCGTATGGTCTAGACTCTTGAAAAGTGTCCTAAGATAACTTTTGTTATACAAATAAAACTGAATTTTATGATGAAAAAAAAATGATGTCCTCTGGCTGCTTTGCCTCAGCTCTGTGATTTACAGTTTCCTGGTGGACAGATAGCTTAACTTGTTGCTAGAGTAATCGCTAACTGATGCTAGCTGTAGCTGCCGTTAGCATGTACGGCCATCACTTCTATTTTCATATCGTGACTACTTGAGATTGCCAACATGCGACCTGCCAGAGGTGGCAGTAGCAGGAGAGTTATAGAACAGCAAGAGACGAAGAACAAAATCCACAGTTGGTCAATACGCCTCGGACTACAAACGTAAACCTGAACGTTTCCCTTGCTTACTGATTCTGCATTCACATGCATTACCATGGAAGCCAAGGAGGGGCTGGCTGAATGAGTGAGTGACTGAGTGAATAAGTGAACGCACATACAAGTGGGGGTCAGGGAGAGGAAGTGTGTCCATCCAGTGAATGGCTGTGTGTCTGAACTCAATTTTATACACTAACTGCAGTCTCACCCGTTCATTTCTATCTAGACCACAGGCACACAAAAGTTAAATAAAACACTAAAAATATAACGGAATTATCTAAATGCATTTTGTGTGTTCAGATGTCCTGTGTGAACAGAGTCATGGAACTTCATGACAATCGCATTAATTTAAAGCTACAGTAGGTTAATTTTTTTTGTTGTATTTGCTGAAACTTTCACTATATCCTGACAGTAGAACATGAGACAGATAATCTGTGAAACAATCAGGTTCCTCTGGCTTCTTCTGGTGCTCCTAATGACATCTGCAGGAATGAACCGGGCCTGAACAAAAACAACCAATCAGAGCCGAGAAAGATAGCTGATTATTGAGTCTCATTCCCAGGGCGTCAAATACACACGCTTTGGGACCCTGGGTATGAGACTATCAACTATCTTCAAGACTCCATCTCACAGCGTCTTTGTATCGTTCTTAGCTCTGATTGCTTGTTTTCGTTAACAGATTATCTGTCTCATGTCCTACTGTCAGAATATAGTGAAAGTTTCAGCAAATATGATAAAAATAAAGTTATTTTTATAAATGTTACCTACTGCAGCTACATTTGTTAGAGAGAAACTTCTGTTCAATGTGACCGGAACACAACAGGAGGGTTAAATAAAGGATCTAAATATGTCCTCCACCACTGCCAAGGTGTCAGACAACTTCTCTGTCCATGACTGTAGATAATGTGTTTGTTTGTATGCTGCAGGTAATCAAATGGTTTCAGATACAGTTTCATGTTTCATACAAATATAATGTTCTGTTTGACTAAAGGGCTCTGTTGACACAGAGGAAGCATGTTAACTGGTACACACACACACACACACACACACACACACACACACACACACACCATACTGTGCAGTCAGTGTTCACCATATCTGACTCAATTTCTGTTATTTATCTCAATCGTTTATGAACAAAAGGACCTCAGCAAAAGACAACAACAAATCGTGGAAACAGGAATAAACGATGGCGGAATAAACAATCCACAGGGAGCCCAGACGGGCTGGTACACACTGGTTACAAAGAATCCAACACTAAAGCAAACTGAGAATAAAAACATCATCTGTGAACTTTAACAGTTCGTTCGAGTGCGATCGAAAATGTTTGTTCCCAAGCAAAGTTAGCCCAAGATGCTAGCTACCTCAGCAACTGTACGTATGTTTTAATTAAAGAAACAACTTAATAAAATACCCGAATTATGAACTCACTATTAAAACCAGCCATGTTTTCCTCTTTGACCACAATAAACTCTCACGGTGACGGTAGACGCAAAGCTAACGCTAACATCAAGTAAAAAGCAAAGTTAGCACTGCTAACCTGAAAACTTAGCTAACTCGTATTAATTAACTTCGGAGAGAAACGCGTGACTATAGAGCAGAAAAAATAATTTTAACATGAGATGATCTGACTGTAGAGTGAGAGTTATATCGGTAGTATACGTCCAGGCTTTACTATAATTACAGACGAGCTCTGTAAACTATGCAGCCCAGTTAGCTACCCGAGGAATGCGGCTAACAAGCTGTAACGTTAAACATATTTCCTGAGACAAGTTCACCGTTAAAACCTCAAACACTGTTCACTTCATTATTCCCGAGCGGCGATGGCGTGTTTCAATTAAACTGGAATTTTAAAGATAAAAAAAACACAACTTCGTGCTGCAGCAGAGGTGAAGCAAACTTTTTTTCCACGACAGCAGCCAGAAGGATCTGTCTACCTCCTGGCGCCAGCACACACCAAAAAAATCTGTTCGCCGAGCTCTTGATTGTTTTTGGTAACTTATTTCAATTATCTTAACATATACTCTATTATCTCGGTTATACACACACAAACTAATTTAATATAAATATCTTTACCTTTAATATCAAAGGATAAAATGTAATTTAAAACTCGACAAATCGTAAACACGAAGCATTCCAACCCAGGGACTGCGTTTGTTCCAGCAGTTAGACAGAGCCCCAAAGTCCGACCCGCAGGCTGGGAATGAAGTTTGGGATCACGTTTGATTCTTTCTTACCTTTCTTCTTCTCTCTTTAGTTCGTCCCGCCGACGTGGGCCATCTTTCGACGCTATTTCATTCCACTTATTCAAGTCCAAAACCCCGCCAGAAGAACACGACAGAACAGCATAATTTCCCAGCGTTTTCTTGTAATATTCTCGGCGTCGTACTCCTCGGCTCCCCGCTCGCTCGCTCTGTGGTTTGGCTGTTTGGTGATGGAGGAGAGCGAATACCAGCCGGACAAAGATCGTCCGTGTGCAAAAAAGATGGATCACTCCGCTTCAAAACTTGCCAGTCGGCAAGAGTGGGTACTCTCAGGTGTCTCCAAAACAGTTTCTAGCTTAAAAATTGACTTTACAAAAATAGTTACTAAGTTGGGAGGTACACAGAAATTTGTTTTCTACTGTTTTAGTATTCCTCCAGGGCTACAGCTATCATTAAGGACATGTTTTCAGGGGCCTATTTGTTCTCTGAATTTGTTTTTGTTTGGATTTTTTTAGCAAATTTGGTGGGGTTAAAACTCAAAAACTAGTAGAATGAGTATTTTATAAGCTGATAGAACTGATTGAGCTGATGTTTGGACTCAATGCACATAAATCTTTTTAAACTTAGGCCAAAATAAATACAGTACGCTGTCTTTCCCAACCAGAATTCTATTCCTGGCAGCATAACAAAGAGAGTTTTGAAACAGCATTTCGACCTTCAGACGACTCTATCTGCAAATTAAGACTTTACATGTTCTGTTTTTGTGAAGCTTTCTAAGTGCTGAAATTAAAAACAAGTAATTCCTAAAGAATTTGTGAGTCATGGCCTTTGTCATCAGCAGCTGAAAGTATTTCCAAGTGAGCTAACTCCATCTGCAGATGAGGCATCACTATCTAAAAGCTGGGCTGAAGTTTGCTGTACTTAACATTACATTACACCCTTAAAACACCATTAGACACACAGTATTTCAGTTAGGCCTTTATTGTTTGTGATCATAATTAAATAGATATATGGATTTTATTCCCCTGTGAAACAATATTGTTCTTGGACAGTAGATGAACAACAAGGTTTCACTGACAAAGAAGTGCCTTTTCACACAAATTAGACTTTTATATCAATTAGGTTTTTTAGTTTAGCTTTAAATGTGTGTTACTTGAAAATGATGGAAATGTAAAAAATAATGTGTTTCTTTTGCAACAGCTTCTAATTTTAGTCTACAGTCAGGACCAGTGTAGTAATAAAGTAGAATTAATGACAATTTTGATGTAATTCAATGTACAATACTGTATATACCTGAGTATTTTCTAAGCAGCTGTACTACATTGAGAGCTTTCTGACTTGTTTATGGTATCACGACACAAAGGCAGAGTGAGAGATCTTTATTTTTCCTCCAATCACCGCCGCTCTGTTCAGTCCTGCAGAGGAACCTGCGGGCTTTTATTTTGAAGTCAAATCTAAAAGCGATCCACGCGCCCTCTGCTGAGCATTAACTGACCATCATCCCACTAACTTTACTACTACTACTACTACTACTACTACCAACAACATCATCAACAACAACAACAACAACAACAACGACAATAGACCAATAACAATGATAATAATAGTCACAATATATCTAAGTAAACAAAAATGAAGGGTTTGGGTGTGACAGTAAGTGGGTGTTGTGACAAGCCTGCATGTTGCAACAATTAAACTCATGACATTTGTCTGGTCTGTGTCACAGTTAGACTGAACTGATGACAAAAGTTTCTGAAATAAAAACTGAAAGAGGAACTTTGTGTAAATGTTTCAAACAGATGACACAAACTAACAGGAGAGAGGAGTTTTCCTCAGTAAAATGATATGAGAACTTGAACTTTGTTTCCGCTGCCCACACAATTTTGTGACATTCAGCTAAGAGTAACAAACATAAAATGTTGTGTTTTTAATCTAAAATTTTTCTCTTTTATGTACGTATATTTTACACATGCTTTGGCAATGTAAACGTCTGTTTCCCATGCTAAAAAAAGGCCCTTCAAATTGAAGAATAGAATGTAAAAAATAACGTTTCGGGCTGAACTGTAGATTGGATTACATATGTATTGTGTTAGCTGATTGTGCAAATATCATTTGCAGTTAGGGTTAGGGACTTCTGTCCCTTGCAAAAGAAAAAAAGTGTATCACAGGTAAAGTGCTCTGGTGTGTGCCTTTAAATGCTGAAATATGAATGTTTTTTTCCAAGTTTTTCACTTGCTTCAAGAAATATTCCTTTTTTCTTCTAATGACTTTTTTCTCAAAATCTAAAATTATTTTATTCCTAACAGAAGCCCAAATACTCTCTCGTAGATCTTCTTTTTTCTTCTTCTAAATTTCTGGCTTTAATCACATCCTTGAGAACCTTAAAGGTCCAGTGTGTAACATTGAGGAGGATCTATTGGCAGAAATGGAATATAATATTCATGTATGTTTTAATTAGTGTATAATTACATAAATATAGAAATTATTGTGTTTTTGTTACCTTAGAATGAGCTGTTTTCCTATGCCATGGAGACCGCCATGTTGAACCTCCATGTTTCTACAGTAGCCCCGAACAGACAAACCAAACACTGGCTTTAGATAGGGGTGTTTCACATTTTTTGCACGTTTCGCAGCCATCAGAGTTTCTCTTTCGATCTGCAACTGCATCATTGGATGCCACTAAATCCTATAGAGTGGACCTTTAAAGGTCTGTTCCTTTTCCCATGGCCCTAATCCTGGGGAAGATTTCCATTTAAGTCCACAGCATTTTTCTTCTTTAGTCAAACAGAAAACCTTGCAGATTCAGCAGGAAACAGCCATATCTTAAAGAGACAAAAAACCTTTACAGCAGACGTTTGAAGTGTATGAAGTGCTCAGTTTATTCGACTTGCAACACATGTATTCTTCAAATATTCAAAACCTGTTAAACAAATGTAGTGAAGCAGCTGAACCTCCTATGACCAGTCTAAGAGGCTTAATGTTACTCCAGCTTCCATCCGTCCTTCAGTCATTAAGTTACATCAATAATGTTTCACTTGCAGCTCATTGACACCAAAACCAGTTCAAACACTTGTAATAATGTTTAACAGTGGGCGTAGTCTCTTTGTCATGACACAAACACTAATACTGATGTTGCCTTGCTCGACATGCTGTGACAAACTGTGACAAACATTCTGCATGCATACATTCACTCTCTGGAAAACACACAAACTGTATAAAATATTAAAGTAAAAACTGTACACCAGCACACAGACCTGTCAGAGCTGTGTGCCAGTCAGACAAACAGATCACAGAGTGGCCTAAAGGCACCGTACACTGCAGGGAGACGTGTCTCAACGTTTCCCCACAGAAACTTGTGTCAAAGTTCATCTGAAAAACAAATCATTTATTCAGTGTATTTGAAGCCCTGTTCACACTGCAAAACATCAGGTTTTATGTCCTAAAGATCCAGTGTGTAACATTTAGGAGGATCTATTGGCAGAAATGGAATATTCTCGGGCAGTCCGTTGTTAAATGATGCGTGCCGTGTTGTTAAAGAGTCGCAATACTTGTAAATGCTGAAAATGTCTGTATAAAAGCTGCTTTTTTTGCCACATAGCAGCATGCACAAAATGGTTGTGGATGGGAAACTAGTGTTCTACAAAGTCTGCCATGTTGACCCACCATGTTTCTACAGTAGCCCAGAAGGCTGGCTCTAGATAGTGCTTTCAGCGTTTGCTTGGTTGAGTCAAGGGGTTTCAGTTGGTTGCAAGCTGCAATCTCACCGCTCTATGCCACTAAATCTTACACACTGGTATCTCAGGATGTGTTTACACTGCCTGATAAAAAGTTCTGATGTTTTTATTTATTGTGTGTAGGGCTGGCCGATAAATCAATTTTATCGGTTAACTCGAATTTGTAGTTAAACACGATTTATTTTTAGTTAAAATCGGTTTTCTCTTGAACTTCCACAACACCGGCGCTCCCTTTGGGCTCCCCTAGGTCAGAGTGCGCTGACCCCTTCCCCCGCCTCTCCACAGATAAACACAACATGGCAGCAAGCCAGGATGAGCTCATCCCCAAAAAAGGCACAGTGTCGTCGGTTGTTTGGAACTGGTTTGGTTTTGTGGCGTCTGACAGCGAACAAACAGCGACCCACTGCAAAGTTTGTTTGAAAGCTGTTGCAACCAAAGGTAGCAGTACGACCAATTTATTCCAGCACCTCAAGCAGAGGCATGCAGCCGAGTGGGAGAAATGTTGCTCTCTGCGTGATATACAGGACCGCAGCCCACAAACACCCGCTAGAAAACAGTCTACCAAAAAAATCGATTAAAATCGTAAATCGGGTTTGGAGTGAAAAAATCGGAGATTTTATTTTTAAGCCATATCGCCCAGCCCTAGTTGTGTGTGCTTTGATTCTGTGTTTATCTTTGTCATTCACTGTACCTGGAGCAAATAAAGAAGGGATGTGAAACGGATCATGCTTTATATTGCAGTTTGTTAAGCTGCAGTTCTTCTGATGGCCACCAGATGCTGCTAAAACACATTGCCTGCATTGAAGTGAATGGGAAACACCTCTGATTTCTCTCTGCAAATACAAGGCAATCAAAAGTTCAACTCGAACCAGACAGTTTCACTTTTCTAAGTAAGTCTGAATGGAGATTGACAGTGACAGGTTGGTTGTTTACTGTTTCCTTGTATCTCGATCAGATCTAAGTTGTACCTTATCAATGATGATCATATTTTTTCTATAAGATAAGATAATAAAAAAATCAAATTAAATAAACAGTCCAAAGGCCTGCAGTGTGAACGGAGCTATTAAGTGGCCTTGAAGTGAAAAACGCCACAAACATTCAAGCTCAAAAACATAAAGAGATTACAAAAAAAAATCTATTAACACTCAAAGTACATCTTGTGATGCCAAACATCCACAAAACAAATTAAACAACTAATAATCTGATGAGCACTGAACGCAGCAGTGATGATATATTAGCTCTTAAATAAATATCACACAGTCAAAATAGTCAATAAATATGAAATTCAAGATTATTTGTTGCATAGTAACACCTACAGTACGTGAAGTCAAAGAGGGATTAGAAGCTACACTTCACATCACATCATCAGACACCACTGACACACTGCAGCAGCCTCACCTGAGCAGGTTCACCTGGAAAAACAACTCCAAATACACTGAAATACTGTGTGAGAGCAGGAAATAGGTCCGCACTGCATGTGCTTTACATAGCGTACACTTGTTTTTGAATCAAAATCACCCCGTAGAGATGAAATATGGAAGTGACAAGACATTATAGTTGAAAGAGAAGCTGCTTCTGTTTGAGGTCGTTCTGCGTCCCTCTGTAGCTGTTTTGTGTATCTTTGTAGCTGTTGTGTTGCATTTCTAGTGGTCGATTTGTGTTTCTTTCCAGTTGTTTGTGGTCATTTTGTGTCTCCTCTAAGTAGTTGTTTGTGTCTGTGGTTGTTCTGCCCCTCTTTGTAGTCGTCTGTGGCATTTCTATGTTGTCATTTTGTGCCTCTTTGTAGTCATTCTTTGTCTCTTTGTTGCTGTATGTTGCTTTTAAATGTGGCTGTTTTGTGTCTGTAGTCTTCTGCGCCTCTATGTTGTCATTTTGTGTCTCTTTGTAGTCATTTAGTGTCTCCGTAGTTGTGTTGCATCTGTATGCGGCTGTTTTGTTACTCTTTATAGTTATTTTGTGGCTGTTTTGAATCTTTTCGTAGTTGTTGGATTGCATTTTCAGTCACAGGAAATCACTTTATACAGAGATTCTGGGGCAGGGGCCCTGACTGCTCTTCTGGCACTGCCCCATGTCACTTTGTCACCAAGCTCACAGAACCACCCCTTGCATCAGGTTCTGGTGTAACCGGGTTTACACAGTATCATTGTGCACTTAGACTTGTTTTTCATATTTGAGCACACAGGTTCACCCAGTGGAATGAGGCTAGTGGAAAGTGTCACCAGGTCCTGTCTCCAAAAACATTTGTGTTACATTCACTGCCAGTCTCACTTCTAACAACATGTCAGATAAGGCTTCTTCATGTGCTGCTCTGCTGTTCAGTTCACTGTCACACAGTCAGATCAAAACTTGGCTGGACTGAGAGCAGAGTTGATCACACTCTCGTCAAAACCAAAACAAGAAATAAACCGGTTTCTATCTTTTATAATGTCAAAGTGAAGCGTCACTGTTCTGCCTGCTGCGCTGAGTACTTTCTGGTTTCTACAGCTGAAATATTTTATATTGTAGAGCTGAACCAAACATTATTAACACATTTCTTTTGTTTAGTTAAGTGAAAAAAAAATGAAGGTGGCATTCAAGAGACCCAAACATGTCAAAATCAAAATAGGCACAAAAACAAGTCCAAGATTAGAACAACATTGTAGAGACAAACTACAGCTGTGCAGTTCACTGTATGGAGTCTCGGGTGTGTCACTGGAAAAGTTATAACCTTTTTCAGTAGTTAATTATAATCAGTATATGAAATTTTGTTTTGAAGAATTAATAAAAATGTATTATTAAATCTTGCTAGCAATAATTATATTTCCTTATTTTTTTAAGGTCATTTTCAAATGAGATTATGAAAATGAAATTGCAAACTTAATTTAAAATGATCTTTTAGATGATATATTTTACTTTGTTATTTCATCACATAAAGACAGTATGAGTAAAGAGAATAAATTATTAAATCATTAAAATTATTATAAATATCGAATTTTGTATCATGTCTTTAACATGAAAATGTCTACAGTTATTTGATTTGGCACACTCCAGACTCCTTATAAACTCCTCCAATTCTGAACTGAACAGCACACCGGTCACCTTAACCACAAGTATTTTCTGGTACAAAACATAGGAAAAAAAAAACCTGACAGTACACCATAAAGGGTTGGATGTACAACAGAAAACATCATGTTTTTGTTTTACATACGTTCCTGTTCTGAAGCAGAATCGTCAGGTAGCATAGTTTCAGTCATTAATATTAATGCACAAAAAGAAAAGTCTCAAACCAAAGTGTATTTTGCATATAGAGCGTTTACACAAATCTGTGAAAGTTGTTGTTGTCGTTGGCTTGCGTTCGTTGTCGTGGGCGGCAGCGTTGCCCTCGGTGAGCAGCAGATCTGCAGCTGGTCGGTCTACACGTTGATGGCGTGAGCGTGCTTCTTGCACAGAGGTTTGTCTTTCTTAGAGTAGAAAGGCTGGCCCTCAAGGTTCACATGGCAAACCTGCAGTTGCAACAAATACGGCTGCGGTTATAATGTTGTGAGCTGAAGTCTGAGGATCTGCTGCATTTCAACAAAACATACAGTGTTCTAACTAACTATGGATGATGTTTAAATGGTTTCTGGTTCTGCTACTTACCGCACAGACGAAGCAGGTGTCATGCCAGGTGTGACCCAGAGCCTCAATGAACTTATCACCAGCTTCAACCGGGAAGTCACAGCCATGACACTTAGTGCTGAAGAGTGAGATATAATCTGATGGAGAGACAGAGAGATAAACTTTGAAATACCAGTTTGAGCTCATTCTTACAGCTTACAGCCCAATGTCTGACCTCTGACCCCCACGATCTGCGTGAACATCTCCGTACCTTTCTCGCAGTACGGCTCTCCGTCTTCCATGTGGAAGAGGCTGTTTCCGAAGGCTTTGCCGCAGGCTGCGCACACGAAGCAGGTGGTGTGCCACGTCTGTCGCAGAGCGTGCATCACTTCCTGTAACACACAGCATGTCAGACAGCCTGAGGTGTGTGTGTGCGTATATGTTACGGTAAATTTAAAGAGTCATTCCAGTGTTTCATCATTTTTTAGCCATTTACTACAACCACTAACCATTTTTCAAAGCAGCACAAGTATTCAGATTACTTAAGTAAAAGTATGAATACTACACTGTGAAATTACTCCATAGTAAAAATATGCAAGTATTATCAGCAAAAGTCCATAAAAGGAACTTAGTTTTTCAATTTAGATGCAAATCCAGGGAGGGACCCAATATTTGGGGAATTGGGGAAACCCAATTAATGGGTTTTAATATATTAAGGGCAGTCCATGATTTACTGCCATTGATTTAAACATTTTAAATACACCAAATGAACGAAAATACACGGTTTATAAGATTCAGACAGAAGTGTCCTGATAAGCTGGAGATTTTGTTTTCAGTCACGGCTAGTCAACCCTGGTCCTTTAAACTCTACTCAGGTGGTCAATTCACCACTGTGACTGTACACAGGCAGACAGGCAGACAGGCAGACAGGTAGGACATCTCACCCCCATGATCTTGGTGTTGCAGCGGGCACAGGTCGGAGCGAAGAACTCCTCGTAGCAGTTTTCACAGTAGACGTTGTTCTGTTCCTCCACAAAGCTGACGTCAGCCAGAGACATGTGGCAGTAGGCACAGTTAAACTCCTCGGGGTGCCAGGACCGACCGAGGGCTACCAGGAAGGGGCCCCTGGAAACAACAACAACAGGTTCTCATGCTCATTCTACACCAGTGGGCACCTTTTTAGAGGTCACATGTTTGGTAGAGCTGACTTTATGCTACCTGCAGCCTTTGTGTCTTTTTTTTGTCTTTTTTTATTATAATCACATAATCAAGGTTTATCAATATTATAAACTTTATTTAAATAGGCTGAGATTGAGATCCTTTTTTCAAGAGACAAATAAGACAAATAAAGTCAACCAAAATAAGTACTAATAAAAACAACTTCAAGGGTGAAAAAAATATTAGATAATTAAGATTTAAAAATAACAAGAGAAATTAAAGAATCTATTTTGTGGAAAGTTACTATTGATGGAAAAATGAATGCAATCCAAACCAGCTGCAGGAGCTGAAATGACTCAATCACCTAAATTAAATGAGCATATTATCATACATTTAACAAAAACAACGGCTGTATAAAGAGAAGAAGCAGGTACCTGATGACGCTGTTGCAGGACCCACACAGAGGCGTACGGCTGCTGGCGGCGAACCTCTCTGCCCTTTGGGCCACGCCTCTTGCCACAGGTGAGAAAGGAGCAGGACTCGGAGTGATGGGGGCAGGGCTGGGAGCTGCAGGTGCAGCGGGGGAGGGGTTGGGGATGTATGCTGGTGGAGGAGGGGCGGCCTGGGGCAGCGGCTGTACCTTCATGGTGGTGGTGGTCATCTTACTGGGGTCGAACTTATCAGCAAAGTTGGTATCGGACACCCAGGGGGGTCTGTTAGAGGAGCCAGAACCAGCCGGAGCTGGGGCTGGGGCAGCAGCTGGAGGGCGGGGCTGAGGTAGGATTGGAGCAGGAGCTGGAGCTGGAGCTGGAGCTGGAAAGGGAGCTGAGGCTGGAGGCGAGGAAAACTATTTGTGTAAAAGCTTCCAATGGATAGGGAGGCAAAATCTCTTCTTTTACAACAGTAAATCGGTATTTCTGTGTATTTGAATCAGTCTGCAGGGGTTCTCACCTGGCTGGGAGGGGTAGATGCAAGCCGTGCTGACCACCTTGGGAGGGGCGGAGCCAAGAGGGATCTGGATAGAGCTCTGCTGTGTGGGCTGGAACTGTTGCGTGGGAGGCTGCTGGTACTGTGGTGGCATTTGTTGGTAGTGCTGCGGAGGTGGGCCTTGTGGAGCCTGATACATGGCAGGAGGCTGACAGTACTGGCTGGAGGGAGATAAAAAAAAAAAAAAGTTGATGTGTTTCTGTACTAAGAACCTGTAAACCTCATGGAGTTGTAGTTATTCATTTTTATTAGTATTAGTAGTTAAGTTTTACAACAATGACATTGTGATCTGATCGATGACAAACATATGGATATACACTTCCTCTAAAAATCTTCTTAGACTTCTGTTTTATATGTGAAACTTATATGCAACTTGGTTTTTGCTTTGTGTTTCACTCCCTGCCATATATGAACCACTGAAGAGGCCAAGTGGACACAGGTCTTAGGGGGTCCTTGATGCAAAAAGACACCAAGGGACTCAAAATGACCACAAAAACATGCAAGACAGCCTCAAAGGAACACAGAATAAACACAGAGAAACACAAATCAAACTCAGAGAGAACCAAATAACTACAAAGAAACAAGAAATTTCAACAAAGAAACACAAAATGACTATACAGAGATGCAAAATGAGGACAAAGATAGCAAAACAACCTCAAAGGGACACACAACAAACACAAAGAAACACGAAACAACTACAAAGAGACATAACATGACAAAAGTGAGATAATATGACCAAGAAGAGATACAAAACGACTATGTTTTGTGTTGCTTGCAGTTGTGTCCAGGTCCACAATGTCTTATAATCCATCCATGCCCTCTGCACTTGACCGAAGTTTTGTTCAAATCACTTGCAGTAAGTTTCAATGAGCCCCCTACAATGTTTGATTTAATGCAAGGACCAAGTTGCATGAGCAGTTTCAACATTTAGTGCCAAATGTCTAAAAGTGCACAAATACTCACCAGGCTTTCCTTCCTGTGTCAAGCACTGATTTATTGATTTACAGAAAGTCATCTAGGTTCCATATAACCTTTGTTTCTGTAGTATTTCTAAAACAGGTACTAAATCTGAAATTTAGTCATTAAAACTTTGACCTTTTAACATCATCATTTGAGCTGCAAATCACAGTGTTTGTGTATATCTACACAAAATATATAGACAGGATACTTAATGATTAGTGAAGGTATTAAAAGGAAAGCAGACCAGCCTAACAACTAGCCTGTAAGAAATTAGTGTCAGTGTCTTGACAGAAGAAAGAAAAAAAAAAGATGTGGCAGATGGACTTTGATCCGTTAGAGCCAGTTAGAAGAGAGTCAGCCTGTGAATGGATGAAGTTGTTAACAGTTACATGGTCCTGAACTGAACAACACTGCCAGGGTTAGGGGTTCAATTTCTATCAGGGTCACCCATTTTTAAATAAAGGCCTCAGTATGCTTCAAACACAGTGCTTGACTTTTCATGTCAACAACTGAGTACAACACCATTAATGTCTGAAAGTGTACTCTGTTACATTTGTATGATCTGTCACATGGAGAGTTGTTGGAGAGTGATGTGGGACGCAGCCAGGAGGAGAACAGATCATCATACACACTAGTGCATTTGAAGCATACTGAGGCCTTAAGTCCACTCAGGGTGCTGCGAGGGGTTTTAGATTAAGACGCCTCCGTTTAATGGCAGATGGTTTGTTATGTAGTGTTGCACAGGAGGCAGCAAGAAGCGGACGGGAGCGCTGGATCCCTGCAGGTGTCGGTACCTGGAGACTGCAGCTTTGTGCTGGATGCCGTAACCAGTAGCAGACTGTCGTTTCAGGCTGCAGGTGTAGAGACAACAACAGCAGAGGTCACCATGACGATCTGCATCCTGAGGGCACCAGTACCTGCAGGATGTGGCCTGCCCAGAGGTACACCTACTGCTAGTGACGCTTCCTTTCTGCCTTTCTGTATTGTGTTTGTTATGTTTATAGGTTAACATCTAGCTGAGATCTATCTATCTGTCATCAACTTCTTTTCTAGCACGTTTTCATCCAACAAGCTCTGATAACAGCAGACAGACACAGTTAGAGACTAACTGGTGACCATAGTGGAGCATTTAGCAGCTAAAGAACCACAAAGTTTTCACAGAAGACCAAAAACAAAGCTAAAGCAGAATGAATATTGGACTTATATTCATCAGGTGGACACAAATACAACACAATAATGTTGCTGTCTACTAGACGTGGAAATAGATGGATGTTTTCAGATTGTTCTGCTACCCCAAAATGACAAAGAGCACAACCCAAAATATAACAACTCAGTCAGTGCACCATCAGCACCTTCAAACAAGCACATGAACACAGTTCAACCCCATTTAGCAAACATGTCGGGAGTCCACCTGACTGCGAACTCAAAATCCTCCTATCTCTGATCCAGATCACTCAACTCATACCAACAACATACAAAACCATAGCAGACACAGCAGTCATACATTTGCTGCTGAGGTAGAAAACAGACACTACAAATCCTTGTATCTTCAGTTCATAGGATCAAATGATTCTTGAAATACTAAGAATTATATTTTTTTGCATGCTCCCAAAGCTTTTTATTATTGGATTGGAACGGACAGACAGTGAACAGAGGAGAGAGAGAGAGATGAGATGCAACATCTCTTGATAATGTCCGCCTTCCGGTCTGTGGCTCTCAGCTCCACTAGTTCCTACTGAAGATGTAAATCTTTAAAAACACAAATATATAGTTTCATGTTTAAAAAAAGTTCATAATTAACAGCTGCTCACTGTAGCTTTTATCAAACCAACTAGAAAATAGTGAATTTTTTGGGGACTATTTTCAGCAGCGGATTAATTAAAGCTTGTGGCAGCAGGACGGTTCATAAATAAAACGTGTGGTCATGGTAAAGAAGGATTATGTCACCCACTGCAACAGTGTGGCTCACTGATGGGTTTTCATAGTTTTCAGACAGCAATGGAGCTCTATAGCTCAGAGGAAGAAGATATGTCAGGCTCTGATACACACACAGTACTTTTCAGTAGATACATTCACTGTTAGTTTTGGGTCTGTTTATGAGAGGAAACATAGAATTAGAATTTTGGTGGTTAAAAGTTGTGTGTGAAAACAAACAATTAAACTCTCCACTCAAAGCTCAACAAAAAGAAACAGCAGTTGAAGCTGTTATAGCTCACATTTAAACAGAAGAAATGCTCAGATTGGCCCACAGCTGATTGGTTACCTGTAAGGGGCGGGGTCCAGAGGCTGCACAGCGGCGCTAGCAGGTGGAGTGGCGGGAGCGGAGCCAGCAGAAGCTGGAGCATGCTCAGTAGGGCTATAGCACAGGAGGGGTTAGGAGCAACAGTGAGAGAGAGACAAAGCCGTTCTGGGATGGAATCATAATATATTCAGTATATACATTTATATATGTACACATGCAGTCCTTACCAGTATGCACGCACATACTGTACATATATTGTATATTACACTGTATATACACAGATCAGGTTAGTTAAAGTCAGAGCTTGTTATTGGTCTCATGCACAAATCAAAAAGCTTGATATTGCTCAGGTTGATGTGAGGATGTCATGATTTCTTCTTTAAATTGGTTTCATTTGCAAAAAAAACAAACCGGATTACTTCCTTATTTTTTGTGTATTATTGATCCCTAAAAGACCAGACCATGAGTCTGTGATTGTTGAAACAGTGCAAAGAGTAAAAAAGACACCGAGTCACAAAGTCACAATGATTTGCAAGGTGAAATGACCATTTTTGTCTGTGTAGTCTGGTTGAGTGACTGCAAAGTATTACTATCTCTGTAGGGACTTTTTCCATAATGTTGTCAGACACTTAGAATAACAATCTGAGCCTGTCAGTGGCAAAAGTAGGCACTTTTAGTGGACATGGTTTGGCAGGTGCATTTGTCCCCAAGGGTTGACATTAGCTTACATTAGCTTACAACCATTGCAGCTTTTTCACAAACATTTTCTTATCTAACTCTTTGGTCTGAGATGTTGGAGCTCTGGTGCGACATCCAGGGGCAAAGACAGCCAGTGATCTTCATATATATATATCCTTTAAGTTGTCTCCTAGGAATGAATCATTTTCCCAGTTACCAAAAAAAAAACATCAGTCACCAGTGAAGCACATCGAATTTCACTAACGTGTACAAAAGGTGCTATACAAATAAAGTTTGATTGATTGAATTTTCCTCACCAGAATGAGGAGGAAAAGTGGAGGAAGCTCTTAATAAACCACTTTTAGAGCAACTGCTTTTACATGAATTGAATTGAACAGTTGAAAAAAATCTATTTGACATGTTTTAATGATTAAATTATGTGTATAGGTGCATATCTGGGAGTGGATTATTGGACTTAGCACATAAAATTCGGTGTCCATCCCACAGCGTGATGGCTGAATCTGATATTAACATTGGCGTTTTCATCTTTCTGTCTGATTTCCAGCTGAAACCTGTGAGTCACATGGGAGCTGCTTCCTTCAGGATGACTTAGAGACAAAAAGGAAAACCCGCGGTCTCTTTATTGGCGGATAAAAGCTTGACCTCTGCTCCTATTGATTCATGGTGAGTCACTGCACGGCGTATACAGACTGAGGAGGTTTGAGGGGAGGCTATCTGGTTGTATTTCAGTCCAAACAGGCGAGTGGGGGAGAGGCAGCAGGGATCAATTGTGCATAATGGAGGGATGATTAAATAAGTGCACGGAGCAGAGAAAGCTCCATCCATCAGCGCTGAGACGGGCAGGCTGGAGGAGGGGTGGAGGGTTAAAAGGTTTGTTCCTCCTCTCAGAGACTAAGCGGGCAGACCTCCACACTCTGATATACAGTGTCTGATACTCAGTCAGCACGGCTTGTGTTTCAGACCATGTGTTGGAGAAACACTTTAACAACAGCAGCAGCTAAAAACAAACAGGAGACATGAGAGCAAACATGCATTCAGCTGATGAAATAAAAATCCTCCTCACGGCATCAAGCTGATCACATCAGGACAGAGGACTTCAACATTAGCTGAATCTGTCCCCCCCCCTTAAAGCATCAAGACTTAAAAAAATTGACTTTGTGCACTTAAGTTAATCACAGAATGTTCAATAACATTAAACACTTTATTGTATATTCCACATATTTTTTATATGGTTGATTTTTATTTTCTTTTTTCATTATATTTATATTTGATTTACATTCCCCCTATGCTGCTGGGCCAAATTTGAATTTCTCCAACGGGGGATCAATAAAGGAACATCTTATCTTATCTTAAAACATCTGTGTGGTACATTAGGCTATTAAACCTTGAAAATCATGGAGAAAAAAATAAATAAGGGACCATTGCCACATTTTAGGAAATACAATATCCTAAGCTTTGCAAATATAGATTTTTATTATGTAAAGCTTGTCTTTAAATGTTTAAATGGACCATACAGCCCTATAGCCTTACAGCCTCTCTGCAAATACATCAAGAGATTGTAATGTCTTTAATTCTGTGTTTTATGTATCTTTTTGTATTCCATTTACTCTCTTTCTATCCTAATGTCTTAACCTTTTATTTCCATAAAAGCCCTTCTAAGGACGGTTGTGAATTAGTCTGTCTGTGCTGTACAGTATCTGTCCCTATCGAATAAACCATAAATAAATAAATAAACCTTCCGCATAACAAAATATTTAATGTGTTTAGTGTAGTCCTCTCTATTACAGGTAAAAGTCCGGCCTTGAAAATGATACAGGTCCAGTGTGTAACATTGAGGAGGATCTGTTGTCAGAAATGGAATCTAATATTCATAGGTATGTTTTCATTAGTGTAGAATCACCTGAAAATAAGAATTGTGTTTTGTTAGAAGGGTGGTGGGGAGCTGCGATCACGAGTTTGGTGTTAAATTCGCTATTTAGCCACTCTTTAATCTATTTTAAAAATAACTGTTAAAAAAAATTAATGACTGTTGTTGTTAGACAGTTTGGTGTTAAATTCTGTCAAATTTAACACATTCATTTAAATCTATTTTTATAATAACATGTTAAAAAACAGAAATTAGCAGATTTAATGATCTGTTATGTTCATTAAGTTCAATGAAAAAAAGACATGAGGAGTGGAATTGGTTAGGGTAAGAATATCAGGGTAAGCCAATCAGGTCATTCCTTTACAATCCTGATAGAAGTAATATTGCAAATGGGAGGGCGAAGCGAGGGTGTTGCAATCAGCAACTGCACTGCCACATGCCACTAAATCCTACACACTGGACCTGTAAGGCAGCAACAAGCAACTTTCATTTTGTGTTGATTCTAGTCCTCCTGTAGTGTTTCTACCACCTCGTTTTATTGATTTCAAAACTTTGACTGTTCTACCATTATGTACGATATCATTAGATTATTATGACTCATGCATTAACTAACTTTGTCCATTAGTACAGTACTTCAGTGTTACATTCCAGCACTGTTTTGGGTGTGCTGCTGTGTGGATCTGACTGTATAATCACAGTATGCAATTAGACGGCTAAAATGAAGACATCTGGCAGCAGACTGTGTGCATTTTATCTTTGAGTCTCAGTACTGAAGAAGAAAAAGTCTGTTAGGACACTGTGACCTCTCTGGTAAGGGTTTGTGATCTAGAAATTAAAATGTATTATTTATGTAAATGTAACCGGAATGAAGAACTACGCTCCTCATCCTGGAGACTCCTCCCCCCGTTATTGTTCCCCTGGTTACTGTCACAAACAGCTCTTTACCCAATCAACACCAACTGCAATCAATGCAAACAGGGAGGACAGGGCTCCATTCAAGTGGTCTCATGTCAGACATCAAAAGTCTGTCGCTGCTGTTTGATTCTGAGACTTTAGTGTCTCTTGAGTTTTATTGGTTGAAGAAATAAAAATAGGAAAGACACATGACAAAAGCAGCTCAGAAAAATCTGAAAAATTAATCTTTTGTTTTCTCTTGACACTGTTCTTTGACCATGTCCTTCTTATTAATTTTATATGTTTGTTTTTTCTGACTGCTTTTTAAATGTATTTTATGTAGTTAACGTGATTTTTCAGATTTTCTACACTCATAAAAAGTTAAGTTAAGTCTTCTTTTAACATAAAAAACCTGAAATATTTGCAAACTGCTTTTGCTTTTGAAAATAGAGTTGGAAATTTCAATATTTATTGTATGCAGTTATCTTATTTAAGTTTATTGTTTAATTTGAGGGTAAACATTTCAACAGTCTCCTGACAATGTCAATGATCAGTCCTACTGCTCCCCCTGCTGGTGAAACCAGCTCTTTACATGGAACCTAAACTGAATGAATGACGTGTGATGATGTATCTGCTGCAAATCTCAAACCTGCTGACTCACAGTGAGCTACATCACCTGAAGATCTTTTACTGACGGCTGCTTTCTATAGAGGCTCCACCAGAGAAATTTACGATTAGGAAAATACAGGATAGTAAGAGTTCATTCATTTAAACATGCTGAATATTAAAAAAACATGTTTAAAGCTCCCCTTCAGTTAGAAATTTAGATTTAGACACAGATTTAATGCCAGAGTGCTATAAAAAATATACTTAAAAGTATAAAAAGTAAGAGTACTCAATATGCAGAATGTCCCCTTTTGGACGGACAAATTACGGAGGAATATTTTGGAAAAATTATGATTTCAAATTTCAACCACATTTCCAGAAGATACATTTTGATCTGAATCTGATATTGAACCCCATCCCCAACCCCTCAGTATAGTACTTGAGTAAACGTACTTAGTTACTTTCACCGCTGCTTTATTTTAGCAGGAGAAGGTAAGAGAAGGTCGGAATGAGTTCACCTGTGAGTGTGATGAAGGTTCATGATCATTTGTCGATGTTGGACTGGATTACAACGTTAGCTTACGGAGACAGAGGTGAACTCTTATGGGCGGGGCAGTGAGATGAGGTGAGGGGTGGGGCGATGTGTTGGTGGGCGGGGCAGAGTGTAAAGGTGAGGAGCCGGAGGGGGTCAGCAGCCTGTCTGATGGAGCTCTGCTGCCTACCTGCTCCTCCTCAGCGCCTCCTCCACCTCCTCCTCCCCTGGCACTGTAACAGACAGAATACACAGGAGGGGAGACGTCAGTGAGCATCCTCAGTTTCACACATTTTAAGGTTCAAATGTTTGTATGGTGAGTAAATCAGAAACACAAAAAAAAAAACAGGCAGGCGATCACATTTTAATCATTAAAAACTGATTCAAAATGTTCATCCTGAGTTTAAAGTAGTTTTAAAACTACGTCAATATTTTCATTTGTCCATGCTGGTCTTGCCCCTGGCTATCATTTGAATAGCTTTTATACAACCTGGTCTCACTCCTAAGTTGTTAAATACTGCCGCTTGGCCAGTGGCCCTCCATTTCAAAATACAAAGCTGTAGGTATCCCTCTAGGGTCATTTCTGGACACACCCACCGTCAAAGTCAGGTAATGTAAAAAAGAGTGACAACGCATATGGAAGTGGTGGGGTGGATGGATGGCTCAGACAAACACAGGATCCAGGAGACTGCTGTTGGTGTCCAATGTGACCAAACCAAACATAAACTTCTTTTAAGTAACGTACATAAGTTACATCAGGTGCATTGCGCTACTTACGATCTTTTCCTAAACCTAACTCAAGTAGGTTTTGTGTCTAATCTTAACCAAAGTGCAACCATTCACAACATGAACCACACAAGCTCTATTTTGAAAATCTATCTGACATATTTATTATTGCTAAATTGGCCAGAAGTTGTGGACGTTACACATTTATTGTTGCCCTGCACCTCCAGAAACGACTCTAGAGGATACCTACAGTGTCATATTTTAAAGCAGACCCAGCTGCAGTATTTGACAAGCTCGGAGTGAGAATATGTTGCTTTTATACGAGAATTTACAGTTAACTCAAATAAATAAATAAAAAAACAGGATAACATCAAGACAGGCAACTTACAGGACTCAGTTCCAGTCATGTGGGCCAGGACTCGGAAGGACTTGGACTGCATATTGGTGCTGCGGCGGCCCCATTCGCCCAGGTCTGGGTCCTTCTCTGCACTCTGGACGGCCTGATAGACCGGGGAGGCGCTGTCTACAAGACGGTCTTTAACTGGGAGAGTACTGCAACCACAGACAGAGGGTGCCAAACCCCCCAAAACCAAACCAGGTCAACACCAAGACCCTGAAGCCAAAGCTTTAGGGAGTGGACCTTCAGCAGCTTTTAGTGTTTTATGTTACTTTTCGGTTGAAGAGGGTTAAGTTTTGGATGCCCTGCTGCCTTGGAGCACTGAAATGTTTTTATGATTTCCAAAAAGACACACAAGCAAAACGGTGAATTGATCTTTCATGAGGTGAAAAAGAAAGCAATATTGAGCTGGTGTTGATTTGATTTTGCATGACATGAAGATGAAGATTGAAACAGTGAAGATGGCTGCTGTAAACGGGAAGAACCAGAAGCTCAGTGGTTGTTACATTCTACAATGCTCGGATGTTAAATTATTCAGAACTCATTTTACATGTGTTAGATTGACAGAATGAACAGATTTAAACCAACAAAAGAAGGAGGAAAGGGCTCAGAACATTCAGTTTTCATTTGTAACTTCGACCAGTAACACCAGTTTCTTTCTTTTGGTCTGTTTCATGGTTTTGTCTCCTATCCAGCATTACTTCAACACAAGGAAATGACAGGAATCTTTGTTGTGTGTTTGGTTTCTTTCTCAGTAAATGAGAGTGTGGTGTGACACAGGAGCATCATCCTCTGTGAGACTGGATGGTTCTGTTCAGGCATTTCAATTAAAGCGGGTTTATCAGGGTATAAAAATAGAGCATGAAGAATGGGTATGTAGATGTTTGGAGCAATATCATCTTTCCTCTCTGGAGGGAGAACAAGAGCGATTTTTCATGCACACACACACAGCAGCACGTCTGTCAATGCAATTTTCCAGCAGGATGGAAAATTGATTGTTAGTGTAAGAAGAGGAATACACAGTAGCAGTTTTTTTCTCCATGATTGCCATAACACCACACAATCCAACAACGTTTGCCTCAAATCACAATGTAACAGTTCAATAATAAAAACAAATAAATGAGTAGGTTTGTTGACACAAAGAAGAAGATATAAAATAATAATCCTATTTAAAACGATTACTATTGACAACTGGTACTAGATAATGTTTGTATGTTTACAAAGAGCTCTGTGCTTTTGCTGTCTTTTTAAGGGAATACAGTGTCTGACATATTGCACTCACTCCACACCAAACGTTTTACTTTAAAGTGCCTTTAAATGAATTAAAATTCATGTTTTCTGCCTAATACATCGATAATTGGTGAGTCGTAGGATGATACAGGCGTGTTCCTTCACTCCCCACAAATACCACTTAGCAAATGAAAATGTGTAATGTGAATTTAAAGCTCCCCTCCAGTCAGAAATCTACAGCTACAGCGTGCTGTTTGAATGCTGTATGTGCAGAGTTTGACACTAGAACGATGTTTTCACATTCATCTGCTGAAAGTGGAAAGTTTCTCTGTGCTCATTGAAAAGCCTGGTCCAGTATCAACTTGTACAGTGTGATATAGAAACTTGAAGCCACCAGTGCACATCCACTGAGAATGGACTTGAAGTAAGAGTGAGGTAAGAGACATCTTGTGTCCAGCAGGAAAACTTTAGAAATGAACAAAATGTGCATATCCATAGATTGTGGAATTCTTAATAAGGTAGAGGAAGTAGTAGTCTTTTTTAAGGATTTTCAATCTGGCAATTGTAAATTTTTGCAGAAAAAAAACAAATCAGACACACATTATTGTTCCAAATAGACTATTGTATTATGTCTTAATAAATGTCTGGAGGGGATCTTTAATTTAAATTACATGTTTCTTTAAATCCAATAAAATGTATCTATGTATTACATCTCAACCATTAACTGAAGACCAGTTTGAGACTACGAGTAAGAAACATTCTGTACCACTGTCGCATGCTTTTTCTTTTTTTGTACATTTTGAATCAGATTTTTAATTTGTGTCTCAACTGTTTACATGTAGTCTCAGACAGTTGAGACCGGCTGCACTGTGCTCTAATGTGCTGTCACTAGCATGCAGATGTTTTTGCAGATGTTGTATGTCGAGAAAACGTCAATGTAAATGTAAATTTGTATTTTCTAAACTGATGGTGGAGGTGAGGAATAAATTAGGATACTGATGTAAGGGTGTGTCCGATTAACTGCTCAGAGACTCCATTAGTGACTGAAACAGATGTGAATTGCATTACTTAAATACACAAACACTGCTGCACACTGCCAACTGTAAATCCACCACAAACAAACAGCATTGACACCTGCACACTTTCATATAACCAACACTGCAACTCTTCGTTCTAACCTTCAGAAATCACCAACTTTAAACTTGAAATGACATCCAGACAAACTTCACAACAGTCAGAACTAATGTGAGCTAATGTGATCCAGGCTTATCTTTAAAGAAAAGAGGGGACGTGAGAACATAAAGGAGGAAGAGGAAGGACGGGCCAAGGACAGGGGAATATCTGGGATTAATGACTGTAATATCCATCAGTGCGAGCTGAGAGGAAAAGAGAAATATAAAGACAGACTGAGAAAGGGATACAGGGAGAGGAAGAAGAATAAGGAGAAAGGGAATGAAGAGAGTTTCCCTATAATAACATTTACTGTATATCATTTTGTAATAATTTCTGACTGAAATATGTTCAAGTAAGGAAGAGTTACTTAGTTAGTGTTGTCCACAAGGTCACCTCAAGTTACTTTGTGTTACCACAATTCAACCAAACTAGTGATTTTTTATTTTGTTTCTGTCCACTTTGAGTGGAGTTAAGGCAAATTCAAATTGCAAGGTTGCCCCAAATTTGTCCAATCATTGTTGTTTTCCACTAGTTTCACCAATCAGTCCCCTGTGCAAAGCGTTGAGTGATTCGTCACCAAGCTACTAGTGATGATATTCTCACAGAAACAAGTTGCCTTTGATTTTTAATAAATTATACTAAAAATCACAACTATTTTGACAATTTTCACATTCTCTGGCTATTCAATTGCAAAGAAAATCCTAAAAACATTTTTTTTTTGTTAGAAAAGCTGCCATAAGAGGAGGGACTGGATATGCAAAGTAAAATCACTGTTTTTATCAATGGAGTCTGATGGCTTTTGAGTTTCTTTTGACCAAACCAGAGTTGGTGAATGCTGTGGAAAGACTAACAAAGATGTTTTAGGTGAGTTTTATTTTATTTCTGTGACACTGTTTTGGTCTGAGATGCTGGTGCATTCAGTGGCAAATGAAAGACAAAAAGGAGGCAAAGGAAGAAGGACGGAAAGAGGCATACATGGAGAGATGGTGAAGAGAAAGAAGAAAAAGAGCAAGAATAAAAAAGTGGAGAAAGAACACAATAAAGAAGGATTGAAAGAGGGAAGAGGAGGTGTCCCTACCCAGCGTCATGCCCCTTTCCCTGTGTCTGTCCTGCGATGACATCCATGATGGCGTCCTGCGAGTACATGCTGATGGGAGTGTTGTACTGGGCGTGGATGATGGTGGCCTTGCCGCCAGGACCTTTCACTTCTATGGGCTTATGGGTAGAGAGGGCGGTGTCCAGAGCGCCAGGGTTGAAGCCAGCACTGTTGGCAGGAGGGGCAACGGTGTGACGAAGGGAACGAGTTGAACGAGGTTGAAGGAAAGGTTGGAGGAAAAGGTAGAAGGGAAGTATGTGAGGGCGGGAAACAGTAAGGCTGGCGTTGGGGTCGATAATTCGTTTTAAAAAGAAAAACATCCAGGCCAGCCATGCTCATTGCAAAAACAAACAGTAAGATCCTACCAACACACACACAAAACGTGTAAGTACCATAAACCTTTGTTCACCAAAGAGCTTATTCGAAGGAACCAGCATGAAGCTAGCTTCCGGGTTGGCCTACAAAAATACATCATCCCTGCAGTTATTTGGGAATGTGGAATGCATAATTCCACATTCCACGTTTTTCAACGAGCCGGTGAAGGTACCAGATGTACTTGGCCTGCAAACTGCTTTAGATGATGTAACACATTAATACATTATGATTGGCTGTACTGCCCAATCCGTATATCCTGCTTGATCGGTACTGCACACGTGCAACTCTCAACATAGATGCTAAGAAAGCAATATGACTCACTCTCACACTATGTTAAGTTATCTTAGCTAATATTGAGAAGCAAATTTTTACATTCAAAAATAAAATAATGCATCGTAACACATTGTTTTTTTCAGAGCTGATTATGGAAGCAGCTAAAGAGAGAGCCATCTTGTTTCCTTCTCATCTCTGTTGAGAGTTCCACATGTTGTATATATTGCAGTGTTGATTGGTTAAGAGGTGGCACGAACACGGTATCTGTACACTTTACGACGTACATCCAACCATAATGTGTTAATGTGTTATGACGCATTTGCTGAGCACATCTGCTACTTCCACCGGTTGGTCCGCTGTGCCATGCCAAACCCATCTGTAATAACATGTGTTTCCACTACACTACAGCCTCGCAGCAGGGGACAACTAAACTCACAGATATCAGTGCTTAAGCTTATTTAAAAAATGACACACCTGCTAACAGTACTAACTGGCAGAGGGAGGATTTGCAATGATGATTTAAAAAAAGAATAAAAGAGACAAAGAACCTGCATGTTACAGATAGTGAGAAATATTCATATTGGATCAGAATATATGGTCTAATATTGGAAGAAACTGAGTCAGGAACAAATTAAGCCCTCTCTTCCATCCTGTACTGTATAAACAGCAGGTTGTGTCACAGTGAAGCTCTTCACTCACTCTGCACCCGACTCAGGTTGCAGTAGATTTACAGAGTAGATGTGCCAAACCAATGGCAGCTTATACAACTCAATCCAAATGAAGCTGCCAGAGGTCCCTTTCAACCAACAGGATCCAATCCAGATAAAGTGCTGTTTTTATTTTAAACCCTGTCTTGTGTTACTGTCAACAGCTTCACATTTTTTCTTTTGTGGTTTGTGTGGCACATTTTCTGTCAAATAAAGCTTGAACATGTGTATTTCATTAGAAAGTAGATCATTTTGACTTGTGAATGTTCCCTCAGCAGCACCTTCTGCAATTTTCTTTGTAACAAAGTCCTTTACAGAAACAAGATAATCTTCTTTTTACACGAAGCAGGAAAAAATAAACCAACAAAACAGACCAGAAGCTTAACATTCAAGTAGAGACGATCTGATCTTATCTATCGAATACAGCATCAATCAAGCCTCCGAAAAAGCATGTCAAACAGTGACCTTTACACAAATACCAAGAGACATAACGTAGATGATTGCATTAGATCAGAAACATTGTCAGCATTTCATCAATTACATTTAGCATTTTGTTTATATTATTCATAATGTGTCTAAGGATGCATGCAGAGCCAATCAGCACACCACAAACACCAGCAGAACACAACAAACAAGAAAGGATTCGACAGCTAATTAACTTGCTGCTACTTCATTAACTGGAAACCCATTTGTCTCCTTAGTTGAAAGAGAAGAAGCAATCAGCCTTGTGGTGATTAGCTCCACAACAACTTTCCAGCTTTTCAGTATGAAACACAGCACACCACAATAATGCACATTCACTGATAACACACACAAAACACACAAAATGTCCCAAAAAAACAGACCGGACTTTGGTAGAAAGTTGTTTGTTTTAACAGTTTTAACTGTTTGTGCTCGGAGTACGAGGTGGGTGGAGTGGGTTTGAGGCGAACAGAAACCGCAGAAGAGCAAAGTTAATCAAACACACATTGCTGGCGTCAACTGATGGAGTCGAATTTGCCCATAAGCTCCACCTATCTGGTGCTCCCTGCAGGTTAAAACAAACTCTAAGAAGAACTAGAAAGTATAACAATTAGTTGCAGCGATTTCTCACAAACCCTTCATTTTATGCTTCAAATGAAGACTTGTCGGATCATCCAAGAACGTCTGTAACCTCCTCCCCAACTCTTTCCCAAGCCGACTATCCAACATTCATGTTTACTTTATTAAAGTGATTGTTCTGGAGGCGTGTGGAGGTGCCTTCCACCTCGCAGCACCAACAAAATCATGCCTTTTTCACTTCACCATGTTTACTGCTGAAGAGCACTCTGTGCTTCTATTAGTCAGCGTCACTAACATGTCGTGGAATTTGTCAAACTTAGCGAGAAAAAGGCTCTTTCTGATAGGACGTTGTGAGCGTGGTCTTAATCAGTAGAAATAGAAACTATTTCCACCATGGTCTTGTTTTCTTATGGTAATTTTACCCAGATATCTATTATGGGACAGTGATGTACTGATGATTAAAAAAAGGCTACAGGCGGCACTTTATCCCAAAAGAGAACACTATGACATCCACAGTACCAAACCATGCCTTAAAAGGACCAAACTACAGAGCAAACACACATCCAAGATGCATTCAGCAGGAGAGGATACTAACTTGGGAGCAGCAGGGGAGAAAACCTTGTTTGACCAACAGCAAGGAGATGAAAATAGAGGGAAAAAAGAGAAGATAAGGTCATGAGATAATACATTTACAGATTGTTCTTAATATTGTGGTCAGTGACAGTTACAACTGATGTTAGAACATCAGGACAACAGAGGCTACAGAGAGGGAAGAATTAAAGGTCAGAGGTCAAAGATGACCCCAGGTTAAGATTAAGGGCTCCAATATCTGTCCAATCTGAGTATGAAGAGAGATTCTTAATTAGGTGACACTGAGTGGAAACATCAGTTCCACAGTCTGCTTGGGTTTGTAATGAGGTTTATATTGCATCAGTTGTTAAACCAAAGGAACCTGGAATGGGTCACAGGGTCAGGAAGTTTAAAGATTATATATAAGAGATTTAAACCTTAAATATAGCAGCTAAACATTTACTATTTAAAGATATAGTGGAGTCACGGTGTCCTGAGAAGAGAATGAAATCACACTCCCTCTGCCTGTGTTGCTCACGCAGCCTCTCTGTGGTTTGTTTACATAGCTAGTCTGGCGGTGTGTGCTTATGAGTCCCTCCATGTGCATCTGGCTTTGAGGAAAAGACTGAAAACTACAAATTTTCCCATCTACATCTGTGACTAAGAATTGGTGATTGTTGGAACAATAAAACGACTAACAAAGACAGTTTTGGTGACTTTTATTTTGATTTGGTTAAGAGGTAAAATTACCATTAGGAGTCTGGTCGCGAATGAAAGCAATATTACGACTGTTTTTGGTTCAACAAAAGGTCTCATCTAACTTAGTGAATTAAGGATTTATTTGTTAGATTCAGTGGTTCGCGTTCATGTTATCTACTGATGTTTATGTTATTTTGTTCTCACTTATAGTTAGAGGAGCTCGATACCAGTGTATCATGTCTTTGTTATTCAGCATACTGACATAAGAGTGGAATCAATATGAGATTCTAACTCTCCACCAGAAAACGAATAAGAGTATTTCCCAGAATGTCAAACTTAAACCTCTATGGCTCAATTGAGACTTGTGTGTTTGAGAAAATAGTAACTACTGTGTGTGTGTTAGTGTGTGTGTGTGTGTGTGTGTGTGTGTGTGTGTGTGTGTGTGTGTGTGTGTGTGTGTGTGTGTGCCCAGAAGGTTCCCTGACCTTTAACAGCAGCCAGAGGAACCAACAGGTGTTTGGCCTCTTTGGTGACACAGTAACCTAATCACATTGTGAACTGAGGAAACACCACAGGCATGCTGGGTAAGTGTGTGTGTGTGTGCATGTGTGTGTGTGTGTGTGTGTGTGTGTGTGTGTGTGTGTGTGTGTGTGTGTGTGTGTGTGTGTGTGTGTGTGTGTGTGTGTGTGTGTGTGTGTGTGTGTGTGTGTGTGTGTGGCTATGATGATGAATGGTTATGGTAACAGTCACATCATCACAGCTTTGTAATGCTACCACTGCTAAATGGAAGTGTGTATTTTGATCTGTTATGTGTGTGTGTGTGTGTGTGTGTGTGTACACAGTGTTTTTTGGCTGAGCTGCCTGATCATCCTCCTCACTCCTCACCAACACTCACAGTGGTGAAAAAATTAGATAAAAGTAAAAGTAGTAATACCACAGTGTAGAAATATTTAAGTGATACTTAAGTTTTTAGTTATTTGTTATCCGCAGATCCAGCCCTGGTTTTATTTTTTGGAGACTTTAAGACACTGAATGTTCTGATGTGCCCACTTTTCTCCTTCTTTTCGTTGTTAAAGTTCAACAGAGAAGACGTTCAGAGGAGTCTGTACTCGACGTGTCGGTCAACATGGCAGGATAATGTTGCTGAAAGACAGCTGGAATCTCAGAGGTAGAGCTGCTGTGTAAGGACAGAAAACATCATTGGTAGTGCTGAACAAAGCCAAAAACCCATAGAAATGGAATATAATATGCATGGGTATGTTTTAATTTGTGTCTAATCACCTGAATATAGGAATTGTTGTGTTTTTATCTACAGACACTGTGGGTTGCCTGCATTGCTGAACTCCCATAAATTGTTAGGAAACTGTTTACTGAGCTCATAAATCAAGTGAGAAGTAGACTAATTTCTCCATATGGCTCAGTTCTATCGGGCTGTTTTTGCAGCCCATGGAGCTGCCCCCTGCTGGCCATTGCACAGAAGGGAGGTTTAAGACCGCATTGTTCTGCATTAGCTTCACTTCACAGACCTGGAAGCTGTGTCTATATATACTGTCAATGGACCAGGCGAGCTTCCATTGTTTCTTGCTATGGACAAGTTGTAACTAAGAGTAGCTCAACTCGCAGTATGGCCCTGCTGCTGAAAAACCAACATGGCGATGGCCACAGTGCCAAACTCAAGGCTTCAAAATGGTACTCCACAAACCAATGAGTGACAGCACGATTGGTTCACGCTTGCTCCCTGCTGGTACCGCAGCTTGATCAAAGTGTGTACGTTTTACATCTAGGCACTGTATCCTCTATTATTATTATTGCATGCTCTCCTGTGATACTGGGTTGAGGAGCAGCTCCTCTCAGAATATGATGGAGATACAACTAAATTAAACCATCAGAGTGTGTGTGCTTAGGGGATCACTTTTATCCGTCTATCAGCAGAGCAGCTCTGCCTCTGAGAAACACTTGTGAAACTCCTGCTATGTTTCCTCCACTTCTTTATTAAGCGTCTCGTTGGGCCTCCTCGTGTCTACGTACCCCGCAGGCCGACCCGCCTGAATGGCCGCCATCTTGCTCAGAGTCTCCTCTGAGTACAGGCCGATTGGTGAGTTATACTGCTTCTTCGCTCTCCCCCCAGGAGAGTCGGCCTCTACAGGCCCGGAGGAGGCACTGCAGGCCGACAGTCGGCCGTTGACCTGCGCTGACTGAGGTTTAGGATGGAGCAGGAGGGGAGAGGAGACGGGACGGGGAGGGAGCAGAGAACTATAAATATAAAGTTCTCCTGTAAAAGTTGTCTTATTATATATTTTTTATTAGTCTAAATTAAAACTGACCATACTGCATGTTATTTCTTCATCAATTGCTCATGTATTTAAAAAAAATAAATTTAAATCAAAAAATCAATTTATGGTAAAATGTGATTTTCTCCCCATTGTTATACAGTGTTATATAACATGTGCTCTACATTATAATACTTACAAATAAATATTAATAGTATTTATTGAACGTTTTCTTTTTGTAATTACATTCATATTTTTAAAATGTATATAAATTATAATTATTATCAGTATTTTATCAATATCTCTTAGTGGTTAAAGCTGAAAATTAAGATTAATGTAATGACTAAATGTATTTAATTAGAAAAATAAACAAAGTCTGTATATCTTTGTTGTTGGGTGAAACACACATATACAGAAAACATCATCTTTTCAGAGATTAAAGATATTGGTCATTTTATTTTGATAGCCAAACGTCTTCATCCAGTGGCTTTTGAAAGGTTTCCAATTGAACAAGCATCAGAGTGTGTCAGCTATTATGGAGTCCATCAAAACTGGACCTATTTACCCAACAATCTGCGTTACTGCATGTATCGGGACAACATAGATCTTTCTTCTTGCAGCCACCAGGAGGAGACAACTCACTGTGTTGAACCAGTGTGACAGATTCATCTGCCCTTCAGAGAGAGAATGTCCACTGTATGTGTGAGTGTGTGTACCCTCATTCATCCAGCTTTTTGTTTGTTTACTCTCTTGGCAGAGCAGAACGCTTTCACTTTTGGCCAGTTTCCCAGCCTGAACTGTCCAGACTGTGATGCTTACAGAGAGAGGATAAATCTATACATGTGCTGGTTGTGAATTTAAAGAAGCAGTGCCTAAAAAACCCAGCAGCCTTGATGCAACTCCATAATTAGCTGCTTCAGAAACAAAATACAAATTTGCATGAATCTGCAGCAGTTACACGATACTGAGGAGAAAAATATAAACGATCAAAACATGAAGGCAAATCGAGCAATCTGATGTGATCTACTGAACTATTTTCACTATTTTAATAAATGTGTATTATTGTTAATATCTGTACTGACTGAGGCTTCTCTAAATATATTTTAGCCAGCATATTTATCTCTTTATTTTACTCTTTACTAAATAGTTTATATCTGTTCTTTAGGACAAATTAGATAAATTATAAATTATTTTATTGAAAGTAAAAAAAAAAGCTTTAATATTGTTATCAATACCAGATAACATCTGATCAGTCTGACCTCAGTATCCAGGATGGATTTGAGTACAGGAGGCGTCTACAGCAGTTTGCAACACTAGAAATGCATTATGGGTATATTACCTGTTGGTGAGGGATCATGGGAATAGCAGAGGCGTCGATTCTCGGTGTGGACAACGGAATGGGACGCTTCGACCTGCAGGAAGAAAAACGGAGGCGATGATTCACACTTGAAATGAAAAGTTCTGTTGACTTCTGAGTACCTTTAACATCACGTTTTCTGAAAGTTTGAGGAATCAAATAAAACATTTTACAGGAAGTCAATTTGTCAATACAATTTGTTTCTGAAAAAGAAATAGATAAGGATGCTTCTCCATGTTCTTCTATATGTTGACTTTCTGATCTCAACCTCTGAGGAGCAGTGATCACAAAAAGACAAAAGCAGTGGAAAGGAAAAACACACTCATTGTAAATAGAAAAAAATATGAATACAATATAATCAATATGAATACCTAGTGAGATGATTTTGCACAGAAAAGTAAAAAAAGACTTTACTTTTACCACAATAAAAATTATCCAAATTTACAACAAATAAATTGGCAAAACAAAGACATGGAAAGAGAGACAGTGAATGTAACTGTACAGATGTTAGCTATTAGCTACTGTTAAGTTCAAAGAGTGCATTCTGCCTGAAATGCATTTCACAACATTGTGATGCATGTTGTGAAAAATAGTTCATAATTCATTAAAAACTAAAACTGGACTGTTTGGACAGGCGTTGCTTTTCTTTTCTTGCTTAAATGTAACCATAATTCTCTCACATCACTTATGTAACATCTTAAGGTCTGGTACTACAATTGCCCTATTCTGCCGTTTAGGTCAGAATATTGCTAAATTCTGGTGAAATGTGCTTTATTTTGCTGTAAGGTCCAGTGTGTTGGATTTAGTGGCATCTAGCGATCAAACTGCAGATTGCAACTCCCTTGCTTTACCGCAAAGGTGAATTTATGGTGACTGCAAAACACATGGAAACACGTAGGGCCCTATCCACAGCCAGTGTTTGGTTTGTCTGTTCTGGGCTACTGTAGAAACATGCCAGTTCAACATGGCGGACTAGAAGAGGACCTACTCCCTCTGTAGATAAAAACAGTTCATACTAAGCTAACAAAACACAATGATTCTCATTTTCAGGTGATTATACATTAATTCAAATATACCTATAAATATTATATTCCAATAGATCCTCTAAATGTTACACACTGGACCTTTAAGAGACCACATCGCACCTACATAGATCTAGCTGTATAAAAGGATAAGTAATTCTGAGGGGTAAAAGAAAAATGAGATTCTGAACAAAAGAAAGAGATTGAGACAACGCCCTTGTTTTAACAGGATTGGCAGGATCCTTTTGATCTACTGACAGAAAACGTATTCTGCTTTTTGATTTCTACAGTCCTCTGATCCAAGGCACTTTGGTAAGATTTCTTTTTAAAAATAATTATCTAAAATGTTAGAAATGCTAATCTTAAAGAGAGCGACTGGGTCAGAGCTGTGATGATAGGAGCAGTAGGTGGAGAGAAAAACCTAGGCTATAACTGCCTTTGTGCTTTAGTCAGGTACTGATAATCTCTAGGGGGAGGGGCCTCTTTTGATTTCACTGATAATAATTATTACTGTTCTTATTATTATTGTTTGACAGATTGGTCAGTGGCCCTACCCTTCAAACTATGACACCTCAGGTATCTCTCTCTAGCGTCTCTTCCCGACGTCCCCGTCTAGCACAATGTTTTAATGTGTCATTAAAGTCAGGTGACGTAATATAAAAAGCAAGGAAGTCCACATATGGAGGCGGTGTGGTGGATGGATGGGTCAAACAAACAGGGCTTTAACCCAGGAGACCGCTGTTTGTTTCCTGTAACTTAACTTCCATAACTAACTTATTTTAACCCAAACCCCAATGTTTTCCTAAACTCAACCAAGTCGTTTTTGTGTCTAAACTTAATCAAACTGCAAGAGTTTAAACTAAAATGTTCCTCAACAAGCTTTATTTTGAAAGTCTAACCGGACATTTCACATTTATTATTGCTAACCGTGGAGCCCTGCACGTGAAAAAAACGGACACCACAGGGACAATTACAGTTTGAATCTTAGGGCCTCTGAACAAGCTGCCATAGCTGGGAGTGAGAATGTGCTGACTGGTTAACACTATATCTCCAAAATTGGGCCTTAACTTTCATAACCTCTGGAGCACATTTTATGGCTACAATCGATTTCATGTAGCAATTTGTGATGGAATCCAGTCCTCTTTGTAAGGGAATAGTTATTTGGATGTACTCTTAATTTTAACTGGCTTGATGCCAACCATCTCCTGAGTAAAAACTGCATATTGTTTGAAAGTTAGAGGATTGTGTTATGTAAACGTAAAATCAGGGTGCATTAAGAGAGCACTACGCAGGCATTGTATTTTATCCAAGAAATCCTTGAGTATGTGGGTCACTGTGATCTGTTTGCTAATTGACAGAAGGACAAGAGGAGGATGTCAAGGGTCAGAGGTCACAAGACACTGACTATAGAGCTTCATGGTCAAGAAATAATGGAAAGGAGTAATGACACATGATTTGCTCAGGAAAACGGAAGTGAATAGACAGTGGAATAAAAGCTGGAAAGAAGGGCACACTAAAGGCTCCATTTATTATTCTACCACAGTTGCAAACATTCATACACTGGCCTTAAGAAAGATAGGAGCTGGGCTGATGGAATATATTTCTGTGAGAGCAGCGATGATAAGCAACAAAAACAGAAAGACAAGATGCTGTACTAAGCACCAAACATCATCCAGCTTCTGGTTATCGGTCACAGTTTCAGATTCTAACAACATATTTGCTGTCTATTACAGCAGGAAAGTTAAAGAAAGTGCTGCTTCCTGAGGAGAATTTACATCCTGATAATATACCTAAAACACCATTATTCAGTCAGGTTTATTGCCAAGTAATTTTTCACATTTTGTTTAGTAAATACAGTCACAATAAACATAGTAAGAGAAAGGAAAAAGAGAAAGAAGTACCATATGAGTCGATAAATCTAAAATGAAAATGTACAATAGAAAATATGTAAAAAAAATATATATATATATAATTATGTTTTCTGTGTTGACAAGAAGTGTTTAGGAGAAAAGGGTGTAATGTGCTAAAATAATGATCCAAAGATTATGACTATATTAGCAGTTTGAGACGATACAAATTAGTCAGTTATAAGCCATATTTTTATCCAACCAAACTGCAAATTTCAACCAAAATTTTCAGTAAATCACCTTTTTAAAATTGCTTTTAATGTTTAGCTTAGTCTGATGTGTTTTTAGTGTTTTTACTATTTCATGTTGTTTTTGCTGCTTTTATGTTGTCTTTATGTAAAGTGAAAACAGCAGGTGACCAGTGAAACGCTTCCTGAATAAAATGACAGATTTCTGTAGCATATTTTGTCGTTGGGAGGAATTGTTGGAATAAACCCAACCTACAGACAATCACAGATTTATGACATCATTTTGTGCCGGGAGGGAAACAAAACTGTGGCTGAAATGAAAAATGACTTTACTGTATTCTCTGCATTGTGTTGAGGTCAACAGAGGTCAAACAGCTTCTATTATATTTCCTGCTGTGTGTCAGCGCTTCACATCTATTTCCTGACCTCTTTCCCCTCCAATCCACCACAGGCCTCCACTGATAAAACATGAGTGACATAAAAAAAAGACAAAGGCTCCTCATCCTCAGTCCAATGTCTTGTCTTCATCACCCAGAGGGTTTGTAGTGATGAGACTCTTCTGTTAGCTCTGTGTGCACCAACATTCATTTCCTCCCTGAATGTATCAGATCTCATCTTTCAGACACCTTCAGGGTATGGGAGGGAATATTTGACTCTTATTTCACTCCTGTGTGACATCCGAAACAGCCCAATGTCAACATCTGCAAACATCTCTTCCCTTTTCCCTACAGTATTGGAAATTGCACTAGTTAAACCTCTTCTAAAGTAGCAGCAAAGCAGTTTGGATCCATCAGCATCCAGTAACTATACAGAACAATCTCTAATCAGTGGCTAGAACTATCTGTTGATGAACTACAATTGGTTGCAGAGACTTGAGCTATTTCTTGTAAATCAACAGTCGGTTGAACTGATGTGAGTATGTCTTGAAGTGTTGTTGTCAGGTTGTGTGTCTGTAAAGAGCAGCTATAGCCAAAGATGCTGCACAGAAGAACTAGGTGGATAAATACATTGTTTTTTAACTCCTGTCACATGACCCTCACTTTGCACCACGTTGTGTCTCCTGAGAGTCTGAACAGGCTGAGCAAAGAACCATGACCAATAAATGTCTGTCTGACAAACACCAACCAATAAGCTGTCTGTTGTCACTCAGGGAAGTTGGGGAAGCTGAAGAGGAAGACAAGTAAGTCGCTGCAGACATCAGGAGAGACACAATGTTTCCCTCCAACCCATCTAGGTAAACAGTAAAAGTAAGGCAGGAATAAATGTCACCATGTCACCTTTAGACCCCCAAACACTCACTGTTCTCCACATTCAGCCACCGCGCTAGGTTAGTTTCACTGAATGCAATGACAGAAAGATAATGCTCTCACATATGGCAGGAAGCAGAAAAGGGGACTTCGTCATCCCCAGTCGGGATTATCCCTTTGGCCCAATAAAATGTACAAACGCTCCATGAAGAATGAGTAAGTAAATTTGATTACTTAGGACTTATCCTATAACAGAAGTTACAAACCTAATTAAAAGTTTTCTATTAGACTCAAATTAATTTTTACTATATCAGTGCAAATGTATCTACTCAAAGTGATTGGAGAACAAAGTTTAATCTATACACAGTTTCTACCACAACACTGGCAGCCAGCTGATGCTGTATTTTTGTGGGGAAAAGTACAGACTGGTTTAAATACAACAGGTAATATTAAGGGCCTAGGTTTGTTTTCAAAAGGCGAGGGGACAGTAGATAATGACATTAAGAAAGAAAATATTCTAACTACCGTACACCTTCAGAATTGCCTTGTTAAGTTATCGTAAAGCACACTTCACCAAACAACTCACCAAAACCATCATTTCCACTGTCCACTGGTATAACCGAGTTGGATGTGAAAATATTCAGGCTCTCCACGCTGTCGCTGCCTTTCTGATACACAACCTAATTCTCTTGTGTCTCTCATGTCTGTCATATTCCTGGTTGGAGACGCTGTAAATCAGGTAAATTGGTACTGCATTCCCAATCATCAAACTGGTCGAAATAAACCCTTAATTCACCGAGTTAGATGTGACAAAAATTGCACAAAAAAAATCTAACAAATTCAGCCAATCGCAGACAACTGTTGTATTCGTCCAATCTCCCAACCCTTAATGACATCTCCACCTTTACAACAAAGAGCACTGTGCTTAACTGCTTTAGTATTTGTGATTAGTGTTTAATTTTAGTATCTTTAGGAGAATATTAAGTGTAGAATAGAAGGTTCTTGAAGCACTACCTGCTGCCCATTAAACGAGTGAAACGATAAATGATTAAAGTGATGATGCCCCCCTCTCCATCCCCTGTGGAAATTATGCTCTTGTGCAATATGTGCAAAATGTAAGCTCATTAGTTTCTATCCTTACTTGGACATGGTAAGTGCCAGGTTGTAGTTGGCCATCTTGATCTTGTTCTGGGCCTCCAGATGAGTCATCCCCTCAGTGCTGACGCCATCGATGGCGACAATGACATCACCCTGCACCAGGTTGCCCTGCGCTGCCTTGCTGCCCGGAGTGATCTGTCCAAAAACGAACACAAAGACATTTAGATATTACTGCTCCAATAATCTTTAATCTGACACGTGACGGACACACAGATCAAATTTGGAACATTTTGGTTCACTGGTTGGCTTTTTATTGATTAAAACCAATCAAGAACAAATCCACAAAAAAGTCCACTCTGGTTTACAAAAAGAGGACACAAGTCAAACCTTTTATGTATTTATGTCATCATCCTGAATGTAGGTTTCTAGCATGTGTGATAAATATGTCCAGTAACACAGACCACAGGTCAGTGCACACATCAATCTGCATCTTTCAATCACGTAATCATGACAAGCTATGTGGAAGATGTTCGCTGTTTTCCATGAAACAATCATCAAATGGGAAAAAAACGAATCAATACGTTAATGATTAATGTCTGCACACTAAATTCCCCTTAATCTGAAAATCCACCTCAGCAGTGGAGTTTTGTTGGTGTTTACAGAGACCTGAGAGAGAGTATGCCGAGGACATGATCCTTATTCATAGCACAGTTATAAAAACAACAACTTCAACATATTAAAATGGCACATATAAAATATGGATATATAAAATTAAACGAAAGCATCTGAAATGTATTTAAAATGAGAGAAAACCAATGATTTCAGAAGATCACTGACTGTCACTGTAAATCAGATGCTGCTTTCTTAGGGTGTGCTCCCTCTTATCTTTTTGTAACCAGTGACCTATTAGCCTGAAATTTCACCTGTGATCTGAAAAAAAAAGTTTCACACAAAAATATGTTTATTAGAGGCCTACGGCCCACGTTAGAATTGCTCGAACTAATGGCTAGCTAAATGAGTCACAAATGAAGTAAAACAGAACAAGACTGAATGCTAATGTCAGCATGCTCACAATGACAATACTAACATGCCGTAATGTGTGTGTAATGTTTAGCCTGCCATGTTCACCACGTTAGTTGGTTGTAACTGGTTGTAGCTTATTAACAGTGAGTACAGCTGAGAATTGTTTTGCAGGTATTTGGTTAAAACCACCCCGCAATACGAGTGCAGAATTGTTTTGCAGGTATTTGGTTAAAACCACCCCGCAATACGAGTGCACAACTTCACCCAATTGATCTAGACTCCAGAGGCTGATCTGGCTGGTAGATTGGCCAGCATACCATTTAAAAGTTACTTTGCCGGATAACGTTAGTGGCTGGGTTGCAGCTGGCTGGCTAACGTGAGCTGTGCGACCAACGCGTTACTTTTAGGCAGGAGTGCCTTTGTGGCGTAGGGACATTACAGATATAATAAGGCATTCTAAATATGATTGTAATTAATTTTACAGCATTCAGTGTTCATTTCAGGGTTCAGTCCTCCGTATGTCATGTCACTGTTTGGGCTGATGCCTACGATTGTGCAAGCACTGCTATTAACTTTACAGCGCTAGCTACAGCAGACTGGTGTCTCTTTCTGACATCAATTAGTCTACGCCCATGAAATACATCATCGCCAAGGCCCCCGGGAAGAGCGACAGACTGACAATCTGACAATCTGTCACATGACGCACACTGGCCCAAAAATACATACACATACACATAAAAAAGGTAACATTGTGAAAGAAGCAGCTGTAAACTGGTGGATTTCTGAGATTCACAATCCCCACAAAATGAAATCAGAATTTTAAACCATTCAGTCCAATAAAATTTTGAAAGTATAGACGATCCACACGATTAAATCATGTTATCCACATCCAAGTTAACCAAGGGCTAAACAGGAATGTAACCAGCCTGGAGCGCATGTATGCATTCATCCTGGTCATTTATTTACAGCAGGAAATGTTTTTTTGGCTTCATGCATCACTGAGCAGCTTTAGTTGGGATGAACAGAGCGCCACCTCCTCTGTATCCAGTTCTGTTTATAGATCCATGGTCAATCGCTGATTACAAACACAAAAAAGGTCTATTGGACACATTCTGATCGGATGATGGCGCTAGATGAAAACTCAGATGATCATCAAAGTAAGAGGGATTAATCCACTGGGGATCATAATTGTCTGTACACTTCATAACCCATGAGATAGTTGTTGAGCTATTTCAGACTGGACCAAAGTGGTGGACAGACAGATTACCACTACCACCCATAGTCATGCTAAAAATAGCATGGCTAAAAATAGTGATTAGTGGGGGTTTACATTAAGAAAGCTGAAAGCATGAAACTGTGTGTGTGGGATTTAGACTCTGAACCTCTTTAAAAAAAAGAGATAACTTTCATCCACTCAATCATCAGATCAACAACACCGGTTCGTGCAGACTTCAGACGTTACCTCAGCAGGACAGACGGCTGCTGATGGAAACATTGCTGCATTTGAACGGGCTGACCTTGTGACCTTTCACTTACAGGACCGGACTGTAACCTCGAGGCCTCTGTGGCGCCTCAAACACAATGACAGGACACAAGTGTTCATGCCTGAGTGTTAAACCCTGGACAGCTGTCCATACACTGCTAACCCCTGCTGAGTCACATCCACTCACTCCAATTACTCCTAAAAATCCCTCCTGGCCCTCTCTGCTCTGTCTTCCTCATACCTTCTCCACCATCATTTCTCTTTTTCCACCCATAGGAGTTGCTTATGTGACCTGGATGAGAGAGCAGGTGAAGAAAGGTGAGGTGAATAAGGGTGGCTGTAATGATGTTAGAAAGCAGATAGATTTTCACTGTATGGGGCTAAATGGGTGTGAATAAAACATCGCCCCCTGGAGACGAGCTGTTAGCTGCCACTGACAGTGACAGACAGCAGGGAGCCAGTCCCAGTTCACACACTACTCAGCTTACTGGTCCAGTTCCAGTTGGAACAGTTCCTTCACTGAGGACATATTCACAGCCACACAGCCATCAGTAACGTGCTAGTTTTGGTGAATGCCTTGCTGAAGGAGCCTTCAGTGTATCAGTGATAGCATAATATGAGGTGTTGTGGCTTAGTTGGTTAGAATGCCGGTCTAACAGGAGATCCTGGGTTCAAATCCCATCGGGGCAGAATTGACAGTTAATTCCTTTGTCACAGAATTTGCCCCCATCTATCACCAAAATACTAACATGCTTCATTTTCATCCAAAGCAACAATTTGGGTTGATTGGAGGAAAATCGACAGTTTGAACCAACTGGAAGAACGTAATGCATGAGACATCCTGTTTGATCTAAGACAATGAACATAATGCTTCAGCCTTAGTGATCATCGTTTTACAAATGTCTTAACATGATTGGAACTTGAATATTAGAGAAAACAAACAGGTCATGAGGCGCTGTGGCTTAGTTGGTTAAAGCGCCTGTCTCGTAAACAGGAGATCCTGGGTTCAAATCCCGGCAGTGCCTCTTACATGGAAAATGTAAGTTATGTTGCAGTTAAGACTGTGGTTAGGATTAAAGGGGGTTGTCCCGAGAAGTGGCCGACAAGGGCAAACACGGGAATGATCTAAAACCAAAAACGCAGCAACAGAAAAATGCTACAATCACAGAAACGAAGCAGAAGCAAAAACTTACAAACCCACAAAACAAATACCAAAGAAAAATGCTGCAAATATCAAAAACACACAAAACCCCAAAACAACTGCAGGAGAGAAATGCTGCTAGTCTTTGTTTCTGCTTCATGTCTGTGATTGCAGCATTTTTTTTGTTGCTGCGTTTTTCTGTTGCATTTGTTTTATATGTTTGTGTGTTTTTGGTTTTGCATCATTCCCGTGTTTGCAGCGTTTTGCCGTTTGCAGCGCGTTTGCCCTTGTCGGCCACCGTATGATAGTACTTGTTTCCCTACAGCACCGGGGATACAATGCTTCCAGGTCTGACAGGCAGCATATACATCTACAAGTATTCTAGTCTGCCATTCAGTGCCATAGAAAGAAGAAGAATGCCTTTAAGAGGGCAACAAGTGCATCTGTACAGGTGCTCACGAAGCTTTCATGCACAGTGCAGCCTTCATCAACACTCTCTGCTGTCTGTCTCTGGTACTTGAAGAGAGTGTTATCGTATCAAGAATCTTGGAATTTTAATGGTCAACTACTACATTTTTGGTATTGTGACATCCATAGTTACAAATTGCCTGTTAGGATGAGACTGGAAATACCAGCAACTGCTGTGTCACACTCTGTTCATGTTTAACGTTGTGGATATGAATGACCTTGCAAAAATAAGATGAGCTATTCCTTTATTGATCCCCCGTGGGAGAAAAATCTCGTAAAAATAAAAATCTGTTCTGCAAACAGATTCCTAGTATAGTAGGAGATGGTTGAATGTTCCCAGAAACAGAAAAGGAAGAGGGAGCAGGTCTATCCCAACAAAACCAGTTGATGGAATCCTCACTGCAGTGTCACTTTTGGAGAATGACAAAAAGGACAGTTCAGAAATGTTGATCAGAATGAACATTTAAAGGGGGAAAAAACAAGGGAACAATCAAATTACAGTTCAACATCCCCCAATCTTAGGCATTACTGGGATTTGAGCCCAGGGTCTCCTGTTTACTAGACAGGTGCTTTAACCATCTAAACCACAGCACCTGGCAAAAGACATCACATCCTGTCAATAGAGTCCCACAGGAAATTGGGTTAATCAGCTGTTGGTTAGGAATAAACCTGATCAAGCTTTTTTCTTTGTACCTGTGACAACTGACCAGAAACCCCGGCCTATCTTGTCATGTAATACCACTCTGTACCTCAAGTCGTAGTAGTAGTGGTGAGGCGATGAAAGGTCAAGTAAAGTCAGTTAAGTTCATCCTGAGAGGAACATAAATGACTAAGTTTTACATGCATACTAATTTCCATTATTCAGAATCTGATAATATTTCACATTTGATAAGTTATGTATACAGCATGGATATTCTTAATTTGGCTTTATTCTTTTTTTTAAGTTATTTTTTTGGCTTTTTATTGCCTTTATTGATAGTGACAGCCGAAGATAGACAGGAAAGGGGGAGAGAGAGAGAGAGGGGATGACATGCAGCAAAGGGCCACAGGTCGGATTAGAACCCGGCCTGCTGCAGGAAC